GTTGTTTTAGGTGGGATCAGGTGAGGGCCTTGAGGCTCAGACCCCTGCAGCCTCTAGAACAGCGGTTCTCAACCTGTGGGTCGCGACCCCTTTGGAGGTCGAATGATCCTTTCACAGGGGTCGCCTAAGACCATCGGAAAACAAAAAGATATTTACATTACGATTCATAACAGGTAGCAAAATGACAGTTATAGAGTAGCAATGAAAATAATTTGATGGTTGGGGGTCACCACAACATGAGGCACTGTATTAAGGGGTCGCGGCATTAGGAAGGTTGAGAACCGCTGCACTAGAGTGAGCCCCAAGCCACCCAGTGAGGGAGGGGTGGGCTCAGGATTTGAATTTGAGCCCGAGTCCAGAACCGTGGATGTCCAAGGGACTTCCATGCTGACACATGGCCTTCCTCTTCCTTCCAGGCAAACATGAAGAGAAGCAGCACGAAGGTGGCATCGTTTCCAAGAACTTCACAAAGAAAATCCAGTAAGTAACCTGGCAGGTGGGTTTCAGGGTGGGCGCGGAGGACGGCAGTACCTGGGACCCGAAGTCTGCGGTCTGCACCTTCTTGTGCATCTCTCCTGGGAGACACCCCCTGGGGCAGGGAATTGAACCCTCACCCTGAAGGGGGACAAATTGTCACAGCAAACTTGCAATAGGGTCCCAGAAAGGGGAGCACATAGATTGCGCCATCTCGTCTGCTTAGTGCCCGGTGAGGTCAGTATGACCAACCCCATTTGGTAGATGAGGAATCTGAGAACAATCGAGAGGCAAGATGGCGTGTCTGCAATTCCATGAAAACGGGGGCACTCACCGCCCCCCACGATGTGGCGTGGCTGAGGGAGGATGTCCGTCACTATCAAGAAAGACCCTCCCCTGATGCCCTCATTGCCCGCATGGAATGTTTGGGAGTTTTCTTGCTCTGACTCATGGCGAGGAGAGCGTACCTTCTCTAAGGGCATCAACGAGAATTAAGGCGGAAGGTTTCCTGACATCACTGCTTCCTACCAGGAGGGGTTTTGAGGCTGAGAGAAGACAGAGCAGGTTTTGCTGGGGGGGGGGGGGGGGGGTGAGAAGGGCTCAGCCTGGAGGAATGACGTGAGCAGCAGACGCCCACCCAGGCTGAGCCAATGAGTCAAAGTCACACCGAGGCCCTCGTGGCAGTACCTGTAGGGAGAAGAGACTCACGGTGAGGTACTGGTGGCTAGGTGCTTCACGGACACACCTTCTCCCTAATCAGCACCACTCCGCGGCGTGCACTGCCAGCCCCCGCCACTCTGCCCAGTCATGGCTGCCTGTAGCCTTTGTTTGCAGCGAAGGTGTGCGGAGACACCGCCCTCCTTGTATTTTGGGGAAACGAATTCTCCCAGAGGAGACATGAAAGAACATACTCAATCAAGGTCCTTCCAGTTAGCATTTAGAACAGCCCAAAATTGACCCCTGAACTCTTGAGTTCAGTTCTCATTTCTGAGCAAGGAATGCCCTTTCCTCATCTGTAAGACGGAGGGATGGCAGATTCTAGCCTTGCCACTGAAAATGAAGTGAGAGCGTGGCCCAGCGACCTACACCCGTTTGCTCCTCATAAGTGGTGTTTTGTTATTACTATTATTGTTGTTATTGAATTTTACCTCCACCCCTAGCCCTGGCGGAAGAGGGCCTGTGTCCGGAGAGACTGCACTGGCTGAATTCCAAGGCTTCTTTTCAGATTTTGGGGTTCTGCAGTCCTGCCTCTCCCCTTCCCCCAACACGTGTCCATCCCCGACCCGCCCGGCGCCTCCGGAGTTCTTGGAAGCCTGTGGACACTTCCTGATCAGGCAAATGCCAGACTGTGTCTCTGCACGCTCACTGGCTCATCTGCCAGCCCATCCCGAGACCCACACCTCTCCCACATACAGCAGCCAGATCAAATGTGGCGGACACGGGAACGAAAGGGAAAAGGGATGGGGGAGGAGCTGATGTTTCTTTCAAGAGGCTCAAATAAGGTCTCAGGATGGAGTCACAGGCAGGGCAAAGCTATGAAAGGGACTGAGCCGGAAAGAAGTCAGCGGATTCATCATTTAAAAAAAGACAGCCATGTTCATGGATTTTGCCATCTCTGAGGTCTCCCGGAACACAGCTTGCTGGGAGTTACTTGACCAGATTAAAAAAAAAAATGCCTACAGTATTGCTCTTCAGCTGGGACCCAGCAGCTGAACTGGGCTGGTTGTTAACAATACTGGACCAGCCAGTGCCCTGAATCCCTCAAATGCCCTCCCTAGCCAAGCAGCCATCTTGAACCTGACCCCGGGACCCTGCAACTCTCCCCAATTCCAACAACTAAAGAGTCCTCAAGGACCATCCTCGATCACTATGGCCTGACTCCATCCATTCCGGTTGGTCAGTGTCCAGCTGTGCCAGTTGTCAAATATTCTGAATCACACTCCTGGGTGCAGGGAGCCCTGGCTCCACGATAAAGTGAGTGGGTCGCTTGGAGCAATTGCTGAACTGCTCTGAGCGGCCATTGCTGCATTTCCTCATGGTCAGGTTTTGAGGGGGAATGAGAGGATGTGTGTAAAGCATATAGCACGAGGTACAGACTCGGTGCTCAGTGCGTGGGAACTAATCTTATTAACACCTCCAAACCAGGCCACCTGCTAAGAGACCCTGAACAAGTCTATTCCAACCTCTGGGCCTCAGTTTCCCCCCCATGAGAGCATTGTCCTGGACAATCAAGATTCTTCTGGGCTCTGACATTCTATGGCTCAATGATATGGCAACTTGTGTGAAAATATTCACGACGGTCCAGGTGCCCACTTTTGAGCCAATGACTACAATGTAGGAGCTAACACTTATTGGGCACTTACTGTATACCAGGCACACAATTCTCACATGACCCTAAGAGGTAGATGCTTTTGTGACCCGCTTTTCCTATACGTAAATATAGGAAACGGAGGCGAGATCACTAGTTCAAGGTCACACAGTCAGGAAGAGTCAGAACTTGAACTCAGGTCTGCCTATCTGCAACGTCCATGCTCCGGACCATGGCTTCCCTGTCATATTGTACCAGGTGTCCATTGGGTTGGCGTGAAACAGTTCAACAGAGTTGGCCCATCCCAGCGGGGGGGCGGGGCGGGGCGGGGTGGGGGAGGTGTCCAAACTTTTGGCCTTGTCTCTGCTTTAGAAGCTTGACTTGGCAGCTACCCAAGTTCCCTCTTTCTCTTCCATCCCTCTCAGCAGGCCCCTTGTTAATCTCCATGGCTCCAATTTGGCAGGTGTCTCCTGGGTAGATGCAGCTCATGTGGTTACAGGTTGTATTCACAGCAAAACACTCCCCGGCCCCTCCAGGACGGACCCTACCCATGACTCGGAACGGGCTTACCTCACTCCTTGGTTCTTTCATCAAGACCTGTAAACATGCATTTACAGCAGGCAGAGCCAGCCTGGGCCAGGAAAACTCTATGATGCTGGAACCTCCCAGCTTCCCGCCCCTCCACCCCCACCCCAGGGTCCATTTTTCAAAAGCCGGGTACCAGAGAAGCAGTCGAGCATCACAACCAGCTACTCTGAGTTCAGACACCAGCATTCCAAGTCCATTCCCATCGGCTGCTTACCAGCTGTGTGACCTTGGGCAAATCACTTCACCTCTCTGATCTCAATCTCTGCATCTGTAAATTGGGGATAGTAATTGAACTTGCCTGGTGGGACTATTGCTAACAACTAACTGAGATGATTCAGGTGGAGTACCTGGCACGTAGAAAGTGCTCGGACAGTCCTAGTTTTCATTATTTTTATCAATAATGACATCGCATGGAGGCCCTCCATATGTTCTCACAATTCCAATAGTTTGTTGAAGAAACTATGTCCCAGGTAGCCTTGTTTGTCCCAAACATCCCAAAATTCATAAAAATAGCTTCAGAACCAGAAGCAGATTTGGGTTCAGAAATCCCGTCTTTGATGCTTTCTCACTCACGGAACCTGTCATTTGATTTCCCCAAGTCTTTATTAAACGTCCTGATGATGGGCATATTAATTCCTACCTAGTAACCATTCTAGGCTTATTATAAAGCTCTAACCAGAGAATGCCCATGAAGGTGTTTTGGGAACAAAACGACCATCACCGCTACGAGGTCCTTATGATGTGCCCCAAATCATGACTCATTCTAAACATCGTACATTGCCATCTGAGGTCTAGCCATGTGGCCAGCCTGACGCCCCCCTTTATCTACCAAGTTGCCTATTTCACCATTAATTCCATCAGTAATTGCACTTTGTAGTGAAACACTTGCCAGCAGGCATATGGCAAATGGAAAGGTGTCTCCCCTGCTCTAATACCTTACTGATGCTCTATAAAGGGATGGTCGCGGTGGCCATTTCTGCCAGCAGCTGGTCAATTGTGGGTGCTGAGTGGAAACCTCAACACTTGGGGCCACAGCTCCCTTTTAAGTTACTGGAGCAGCATTTTACCATTTGCAAAGCTAATTCAGGTTCTTTGTCTCATTCTAGCGCTTCAAATACTGTACAAGTTTAATAGCATTATTTCCACTTTGCAGAAGAGGAAGCAAGCTCAGAGCCATTGAGTGGCCTTCCCAAGATCACACGCACAGCTAGAAAGGGGCAGAGCCAAGATTCAAACCCAGCCTTGTATGCCCCCATAGCCCAAGCTCTTACCAAAAACAATGCCTTTCGAATGAATAAAAGGATGGTTAGGCTGTATTAAAATAATAAATGAATAAAATCTTTTGCTTCTCCTAGGCTTCCCGCAGAGGTGGATCCTGCGACAGTGTTTGCCTCACTTTCCCCAGAGGGTCTGCTGATCATTGAAGCTCCTCAGGTCCCCCCTTACTCACCATTTGGAGAGAGCAGTTTCAACGAGCATCCCCAAGACAGCCCGGAAGTCACCTGTACTTGAGACCCCAGTCTTGGCCCATCTTTGTTCCCTCCCCAACCCCAGGGCTTCTCTGATTCCAGGGTACATACATATTACTTTAGCTGAACTCATAGATTTAGTGTGACTAAAAAGGTTGGGGGTCGTGGTGAATTGGCCAGTCCCTGGATAGAGTAGTAGTACTAGGTTTTTCCACAAGAGGGCGCAATTGGCAAGTCATGCTCAGTTGCGTTAGGCCAAAATGCGGGGAGTTTTTCTTTACCTCTTCTATCTTGATTTAAAAAATGTTGCACATTCTATAGTTGCAAAACAAATAAAAGGGGACATAACATTTTACACTGTATCTTACTTTGCAGTGAATGCAAGGTTTGCTTTTCTCTGGGGACCTCGCACCACCCAGATTCCTTTTCTGGGCTCCCAATGTCCCTGCCTGCCCCAATGTTGGTTGATGGAGCCCATTAGCTCAATACAGCCCTAGCCTACAAAGGGTGATAGACAGGTCTTACGTCCCCCAATGGGGTTCATTCAACAACCACATGAAAACAAGTAGTGCCTTCTGCTCTCCACCCAGGCATTTATTGCCAAGCCGACACTCCCCAAGGACTCTGGAAGCCCCCCCGTTTCTCCTCTGGCTAAAGTCCCCCCCTTTCTTGTGTCTCTTAAGTCCAGGTCGGGATTTTTACAGAGGGGGTTGTCTCCAGACAGCTCCATCAGGAACCAAGCAAAGGCCAGACAGCCTGGCAGGCAGGACAGTGGTATTGTGTATATGGGTGGGACATGTGTGTCATTGTTATTTGAATTGTGCTGTTGTTTAGGGGAAAGTAACAGTAAATAATAATAATAATAACTATAATAATAAAAGAGCTGATGTTCTTAGCCATGTGTGTTTCTTTTCATTGGGGAATTAAATACTACATCACTTAGATTTTCAGTATCAATTGGGAATGCTTGTGGCTGCAAATACTAACACCCAATAAATAGTGGCTTAAATGACATAAATACCTATTGTCTAACTTTACAAGAAGTCTAGATAGGAGGGATTTCACAGCTTTTTTTTTTCTTTCCAGCTGTTGTGCCACCCAAACCCCAAAGTATTTCCATCCTTTTTCTCTGTTATCTCTGATAGGTCTACAAGGTCTGTCCTCATGTTTGCAAGATGGCTGCAGGAGCTCCGACAGCTCATCCTCATATGACAATGTATAGAAAGAGAATAACAGGGTCGTCTCATCTGGCGTTCTCTTTTATCAGTTGAAGATCTTTTCCAAAAGCTCTCAGCAGACTTTTACCTCATTGACCAAAACTGGGTCATATGTCTATCCTGAAGCCAAGCCCTGGCAAAAGGGGAAGGGATGATTATGATGGGCTTAGACTAATATTGATTTATACTCTGAGGCCAGGAACACTGCTGCCTAAACGAAACAAGATTCTGTGAGGAAGGAGGAAAGGGGCATAGCAGCTGTGAGGGGTGTCAACAGTGCAACGGCTGCCACAGACCGCGCTGCCAGGAGCACAGGAACCCTGAACGTGGGGTGTTAGGGACCAGGGCTGCTGGCACAGTGCATGAGTTCGAACTCTTTCTGTGCTAAGTGCCAGGACACCCAATTCAAACTGATTTAAGCAACAAGGGGTATTTGTTGGTGCACATGGCTGCGAAGTCTAGGATAAAAGTTTCTTTCAGAGCTGGAACAATGTCAACAGAACTCAGTTTCTCTCCATCTCTTGGTCCTGAGGTGTTGGCTTCATTCCCAGTCTCCATGTTGTCCCCTACTCCTCACCCTCCATGCCCCCATGTCCCTCCATGTCGTCACAAGATGGCTGCAGTCACTACAGCCTTACATCCTCTCACGTTCCAGACCCCAGGGAGAAAAGCCAGTCTATTCCCAGAGCTTTGGCCATATTCCCATGAGTCATTCTTATTGGACCAGCTTGGGTCACATGACCACCCTTGAGCTACCGCCCACGAAATCAGTACTTTGATTGGCCAGACCTGAGTCACATGCTCCACCCCTGGAGCCAATCCCATTTAATCCACAGCACCCTAGGAAGTAGATATTCATTTTACCACGAAGAAGCTGAGGCTAAGAGAGAAGAGGCGGTTTGGGTAAGACACGTGGTGGATAGAAGAACGCCAGGCCCTCACAAAATCTTTACTGCCTGCCAGACACCCTGATAAGGGAGTTCTGTGTATAATAGATTCAATCGCCCTACAATTCTAGGAGGTAAATTCAACTCTTATCACCATTTTACAGATAAGGAAACAGAGGCCCCAGGACCTTCATTATTAACCATTAACTACCCCGTCTGCCCTTCTCCCAACAAAGCAAAATAAAGGTGTCCCTTAAGTGAGTCCGTCCAACTTGTGGGAAGAAAAGTGATGGTATTTCAAGTCAGGGCTTGGGGGGTGGAAGGGAGGGGGTGTGTGTGAGATGTCAGGGATGGCTTACAGAGGAGGGGCTCCTCCTGTCAGGTTTGATGACCTGCAAGGTCGTAGGACCTGAGTAAGCAAGGATGGGTGGGAGGGCAGTGCCTCACAAGCAGAAGAAAACACAGGAGCCAAGGAGAAAGGTATGTCCCTTTGAAAGTCCGTTGATGGTTCCCTATTGTTCAAAGGATCTGCTTGTTCTGGAAGATTTACAATGCATTTCAGGAATCTGTCCTCAGGTTATCTCTCTCCACCCTACCGCAATCTCTCACCCTGCCCTCCAGCCCCACCTAACTTCCCTCTGTTCTTCCAACCAGACAGGCCCTCTCTTGCTACCCGACTTTTGAATACACTGTTCTCTCTCTCCCAAGCATTACTCTCCCACCCTCTTTGCTGGTTAATTCTTTACGGTCTATCAATGTAAGAACGTCCGAACGTGTAGAGAAGTTTTATAAGAGTTTGTTTGCGCCAAAACTGATGACGAATTGCCGGGAAGCACGATTTGAAATGCTCTGGTGAATGGCAGTTTGCAGTTCCCTTTATGCATTTTGAATTAAGAAGGGAACGTAAGAAAGATTACATGGAGGCGGGAGAAAGCAAGGTGGGGATTGGATTACAGGATAGTTAACAAGATCATGTGCTCTCTTGAGGGATGTTACGCTTATTTCAAAAGTGTGTTTAATCTAGATGCACAGAAACAATGGACAGGGCTTGCTACTAAAAAGGTTATATGCCTGGGACGTGACTATCCACCCATGACCTGCCTAGTGAGGAATTTACAATCAGATCACCCTGTGAGGTTACCTCCAGGAGAACCCCTTTTTCATCCACAGGTCTCAATGGGGACTCCCACCAGGCTGTCTAGAGCCCCTCGCCTACCCCTGTCCCAACACAGCACATCGTATAACAGCCTGGGTATTTGTGTAGCAGAATAAACAATAATAACAATCATAAAACCCCAAACTGACAAGGATGGGAGGAGGACTCATTCAAGTCAAGGGGAAAATCCCTACTTATTTGATGTTTATTCAATGACTATTCATTCACTGGGCACCTACCACGTGCAAGACACTGTGCTGGGTGCTGGGTTAGTTTCTTTCCACTCCGGGAGCCTGGTGAGAGAAGGAGGAAAACAAAGCTGTTATTTTGCCAGTTCTGGTCCACTGAATGGTGAGACTCCCATTGGGTAGAGTGGAAAGGGTGCCCAGGCTAAGGGCATGAAGGACTATACGGATTTGCCCAAGCAGGGTCTCTAAGGCTAGGGGGCCCTAGCAGTGTGTGTGCATGTGTGTGTGTGTGTGGGGGGGGAAGGGGATGGGGGGGCATTGCACTATAGTGAGAGGTGACCAGTGAGGAATGCCAAGTTGTAGGTGGACCTAGAACCTAAAAAATGCTACACGATATTTAATTTTCAATTCTTTGCATTGTGATATAAAACTCATATGCCAACCCAAACTTCAGGGAAGTCATGCACCCATGGATGCTTTGTCTGGGTGGTCTGGGGACAACCCAAAGCAAAGTGAATGGAGACGAGAATTCTCCATGGGGAGGAACTTGAAGTGAGAAGGGACCATGAGAATGGACCTTCTGAGACATCACTCTGGTAGGTCACTGGATAGAGGGCATGATTCAGGTTTATTTAAATATCTCAAGAGAGATGGACTGTTCCCCTGATACCTGGACTGTTCCCCCGATAGATTACAGATTTCACAAAGGCAGGACCACATCTTGTTGGTTTCTGCTGCATCTCTTAACTCCTAACACAGCTCCTGGTACATAGGAGGCATTTCATACTCACAGGATGCATGGATGAATGGATTGAACAAAAACATCCAAACTCCTCTTTACTACCTTCAAAGTCCTGCATCATCTGGCCCCTGGCACCTTCCAACTTCATCTCCCATGGCTCCCTGTCCTGTTCACCAAACCCAAGCCTCCTTTCCATCCCTTAAACACACCATGCTCGTTCTCACCCCAGGGCCTTTGCACTTCCCATCCCTTTGGTCATGAACACTCTGCCCTCAGCTCTTTGCCTGGCTGTCTCCGTATCACAGTTTCCTCAGGTCTCCCCTCAAACTCTACCTCCTCAGAGAGGCCTCAAAATAGCTCCCATCTGATTACTGACTATGATACATTGTACAGCTATATTGATTCCAAAACACTTCTCAGAATTGTGCCTTCTTGGTTGCAAACCCACAGGCATATTAACATCTAAGCTGCCCTCAACACACATCACATCCATAGATATACAGCCTACAATGTAAGCTCCAAAACGGAAGGGGTTCTCTTTTTCTGTCTTGTCCACCACTGTGTCTTCTATGCTAAGTGCAATATTGTGGTGCCTCCAGTGATAAATATATATTGAATGAATGGATGAATGACTGAATGATGAGTGTGAGTCACCCTGGGAAATTAAGCCAAAGGCATGATCTCAAACCCCAGAAACCCAGCTCATTTCAGTTTGGAGAGCTTCCAGCTAAAAGACACGAGCTTTGTCATCAAAATAGATGACTCGGCCCTTCCCAAGAGATCTCCAGCGGAATGGCAGAGGGATATTGTTCCTGGGCCCTCACTTCGATGATGATGCTGACGCACGATATGCAGAACCTGCTTCTCCCACCCCACTTCCTTGACCCAGCTCCCTGGACCGTCTTATTTGCAGCCCACCTCCACCTCCTCGGAGCTGCCTGCCTGCCTGCCAGTGGCTGCCGGTGGTGATATATGGAGATGCCTTGATTTGACCTTGAAGGGAAGAAACAAATTAATATGTCTCGAAATAAATTCCGGGAATCAGTGGCTAGCTTCTTCTCCTCCACTCCCTCCTCTCAGTGCCTCACAAGTTGTGCATCATAATGCAAAAATCAATACTGTCTCTTAAATGAGCCAACACCTGGAGCTGGCAGGGTGTAGGGCTGCTAGGAGATCCACTCCCCACCTAACGTCCTGGGCCCAGTGGTCGTTGGAAGGGGATGGGAGACTCCAGGCTTGCTGGGCTCTGCTCTCTGGTTGCTGAGGGCTGGCTGAGTCACCCCGACTGCAGTGAGGTCAATCTACTCAACCCCTAGCTCCACGGCCTCCTGGGTGCGAGCGGACGTGGGCTACCCAGTGGCTCCTGAGGAAAAGAGAAAGGCAGCCACGTGGAACAGCATTGCCACAGCGCCTCTCCATGGATAACTGGGATGTGGGGAGGGGAGATGACTGCAAGCCTAGCCCTCCAACTCAGCAATTCAGTGTGTATTTACTGAGCGCCTATGCCGGCCGCTAATGCAACTCTTTGCCCACGTACGATGGTACCAGGTGCCCAAATGTGGAATACTTCAGTGTCACTTGATAAATACAACTGCCTGAGCCCCTAAAGTGCCCCCCAGTGCCTTAGCCTATGTTAGGCATGTGTTTTCTTCTGATGCTTTGACCCATAGGGCCATGTTGACCCTGGGGGGACTGTCCCGTCCAA